AGAGAAAGCAAAACTTGAAATTGCATCATATGACCCCTTTAAAGCAGGAATCCAGTACCTACCTGTACCATTTACATCCATTTCACAGTTAATCATAGCTGCCTGCTATTTGACAGATTACTCTGACAGAAGGAGAAACAGAGAACCTTTTTACCTTGAAATGTACCCAGTCTACAGCATCTCGGACATCTTGGAACATGCTCTTGAAGGACATGAAGAGGTCTCCATCCTTAAAGCCCCTTTCACAGCTAAAGGTTTAAAAAGAACAAAGGGGCAGCAGAGTAAGAGGCCGAGCTCCAGCTCTGACACATTTTATCGACAGTCAGACATGTTTAATATCGACAGTCAGACATGTTTAAATGGGACAGTCTTCCCTTGTTTGAGGTTGTCCGAGCCAAACAGGAAAGCTCTCTCCCCCTAAAAGGACCAACAGGTGTTTCAGAGGACATGCATCCATACCAAAACACAAATCACAGACTATTACGTTTTGACAGATTTTATCTAGACTAAATAGGTCTGGCTGTTGTTTTTTTGTTTAGTTTTTTTTTCAGAGCATGAATAGAATTATTTCCATGCCATTTAAAAGTTATAAATTTCAACTTTTTCATTTTACATGCACTTTGATTAGTCATTAGCCAGTTACAGTAAATGGATGATAAATTATGGCATGCACGAACATGAATCCAACCACAGACTACAATCTGCTTGTGCCATCCTCTTTTATAGCATAGTTAAACATTTTTATGCTGTATTAGGATTTTCTTATCAAGACATAACGTGTTTGCTGGTGAACTGAAATAGAGAGCTTCAAATAGCCGCACCCACAGGAAATGATACTGATTTACTGATACTGAATCAGTGGTATGGCTGTATGCAGTGTCCAAGACAACAGATTAATAGAATCATAGTCACTGGAACTCCTACCTTGAATAACGGTCACAGTTTGAGAAGAAGTCAACCAGACAGGCTAAAAGGTATGTTTCTGTGCAGAGAGAGAGAAAAACATATATAGAAAGAAGGAGACTGTGAAAGTTGTTCTCAGATCCTGTTTATGTTTGTATATAATTTAAATTATATACCACTGTTAAAATGTTTGGGGTCAGTAATAATTTTGTATTTATTTATTTTTTAAAGACCAATGACAGTAAAAACATTTCCATTTCAAATAAATGCTGTTCTTTTGAACTTTCTATTCAT